GATTGTAATGTAGATGTAGTAATTACTCCCTTGCAAAAGAACAAAAGTATGTATGAAATAGGAGAGCTGAGGGCAACATATGATTGTATAATTAGACAACTGCCTACGGAAAACACTCTACATGTATATTGTGATGGGTCAGTAGCTAGGGATGGGAAGGCAGGATGTGGAGTCTTGATCAGGGAGTACACTGACATCGGCACTGTAGATACTGTTATTGGACGCCGCTTAACTGACAATGTCTCTTCAACGCAGGCTGAACTCCAAGGTGTATTAGCAGGATTACCGGAAGTAGTCAAATGTGGTAAAAATGCTTGCTTCTTTATTGACAGCAGAGGAGCGTTAGAGTCTTTAAATAGCAGACGCCCAGTATATCAGAATATTGTGAGAGAGTGTAGAGAGAATGTTAAGAGACTAGAAAAAACTGGGTATAAAGTAAGATTCATGTGGATCCCTTCACATGTGGGAATACTGTTGAATGAGGTAGTTGATGACATAGCGAAGAGAGCCACTGAAAAAACTCTTGTTGATGTTGTATGTCAGTTAACCTTGAAACAAATAAAAACAAGAATCAAGATGATTCAGGAGGGTGAAGAAATGGTAAAGAGAATGGCAATGGTGTACAGTAGTAACACTTAAGAATTATTCAATAATAAATACAAATTCGTCCTTCACTTATGGTAAAGGAAAGTCTACTTGGAAGGATTCAATTTACATGAGATTAAGATTAGGATACAAATATATCTGGCAATACGGTGTTGATGTCAGTGAAAAAGATAAAGAGTGTAAATTATGTAGTATGCCGCACGCCCACACCTTAGAACATTATGTATTAGAGTGTCACCTTATTGATAACTATAGAAATAAGGAAATAAGTAGTGTACCGCATCAAATTGTTTGTATGTGTGATAATGGTATGATAGACAATATACTTAGGAGCTACAAGAATTTTGCCCCAAGAGTGTAACAATTATATGCTGTACTTACTATATTAACCTGCAATGTTAAATGGGATTCTTGTAATGTGAATTGTCTATTTGTACTCACTGAATTTGTGCGCCCCTTGAGGGACTTGAAGTAGAGGGGGGTAGAAATAGCCTAAGCTACTCTATCCCTTTGAGATGTATTTATTGCTTATCTCAATAAACATACTTGAACTTGAACTTGAGTTGTACTTGCCCAGTCATTGACGCGCTTCATTGCTGTATGTACGAGAGAAGATTGTTCAAATATATTACATGCACATCCGGTACATCGTCCACCTTCTTCTACAGAGCCATCGGTATAGCAATGCTATACGTTTGTTTCCTGATACATCTGTTCACAGGACACGTTTGTTTCCTGATACATCTGTTCACAGGACACGTTTGTTTCCTGATACATCTGTTCACAGGACACGTTTGTTTCCTGATACATCTGTTCACAGGATACGTTTGTTTATTTATTTATTTATATACAAAAAGGTACATTGGGTTAGAAAGAATACATAGCATAGTATTTACAATCTTGTAAAGCCACTAGTACGCGCAGCGTTTCGGGCGTTTCTGCGTTTCGCAGCACTGCGTTTCGGGCACTCGGAACAAGTTCCAAGTAGCACGGGCTATGGTGAGCCCATAACTTACCTGGCACAGGAGCGGAGATGAGGAAGACTGATGAAGATTAAGCCACCCAAAAGGTGGCACGGGCATGAATAGCCCGTAAGTGGTGGCCCTTTTGAGCCATTACCAGTATCAAGAGCTGATACTGGAGATCTGTGGAGGTGTGACTGCACCCTGCGTGACGGGAGATGTCTCCTGTGGGAATAACAGATTGATGATTGATGAAGATTAAGCCACCCAAGAGGTGGCACGGGCATGAATAGCCCGTAAGTGGTGGCCCTTTCGAGCCATTACCAGTATCAAAAGATGATACTAGAGATCTGTGGAGGCGCAACTGCACCCTGCGTGACGGGAGATGTCTCCCGGACCAAGTGGTGACCAAATGGTGGGGAATAACAGCCGCTTCCTCCTATTAATATGCGTGTCTTGCGTCCTGCTGGTTAGGGTTTCCTGTTGACAATTCCTGGGAGTTTGCATCATTGGACTCTCCCGTCGTGGATCACAGCAATTTTTCTGTTGCTTTTTCGACTGATTTTAATAATCAGTTGTGAGTCGTGTGTAAACCGTTTTTCATTTATAAACAGGGGGTTTGGCGGGTGCATGGAATCTCTTTTGGGTCTTTGGAGGACGGGCTGCACGAGTAGGTAAACTTGTTTACAGTGAACAGTAATAAAGTGATTCACTCAAGGTGATGGTGAAGCCATTTAGAGACAAATGGTATACACTAAAAGTGGTGGCGAAACTTCACGCAGTGTCAATATAGTGTGGTGGGGATATTGCAAGATTGTTGAGCACTGTGCACTAATTAATGGTTGTATATAGATAAGGGAATATAGTGATAAAGCTGTACACTTTCGAGGATAGTGGAATATAGTGACTAAATACCAGAACAGGTTGAGGGCCACAGGGCTAACAACACTGCAAACCAGTCATGACAGAGAGGCTCTCATCGAAACGTTCAAAATACTGAACAATCTGGAGGATGTTGACCCGGACAATTTCTTCAAAAGGTCAGATGTAACACAAACAGGGAGCAACGGTGTCAAGCTCAACAAGCCACAATGTAGGACTGGAAACAGGAGATGCTTTTTCACCCACAGGGTTATTAACCAGCCCGTCCTCCAAAGATCCAAAGTCCATTCCATGCACCCGCCAAACCCCCTGTTTATGAATGAAAAACGGTTTACATACGACTCACAACTGATGACAGCCGAACTCTTCCCGAACAAGTGCTTCACTGACGAATTTTGTTCGAATCACACCGCTATAAATGCTTCACCCACGTACTACAAATACAAATAATCGCCAACAGAACCTAAACACCTAACCTAACCTATCCTATGCCTATATATACACAATATGCTAATATATTATAATATTAATTTATACTTGAGAAAATTCCCGTTTTGAGTGAACAGTATGTTAAAATTTATGAATGCGTCTGTGGGGTTGACCGCTGAATGTAATGGACTTGAGTCGAGGACGGGTTGTTCACTGACGACTTTTGTTCGAATCAGAATGCTGTAAAGGCTTCACCCACATACTACAAATAAAAAATAATCGCCAACAGAACCTAAACACCTAACCTAACCAGTTCCTAAATATGCACAATATGCTAATATATACTAATATTAATCTTTATTTGATAAAATTCCTGTTTTAAATGAAAAGCATGTTAAAATTGATGAATGCGTCTGTGGGGTCGACCGCTGGATGGAATGGACTTGGTCCGAGGACGGGTTGAATAAACCCATGGAACAGCCTACCCGCCGAATTCGTAAATGCCAATACTATGCTGAACTTTAAAGTCCAGCTTGAAAAAAATCATCAGGACACATGGGAGACCTTTGACAAGCCGCCGGCTTCCTATCCTTATCGAGGTCACTAGTGTTAGTGGCTTCAGGTAAATTAAATTCAGGTAATTATTAATTCAGGAATTAAATTAAATTCAGATTAATTATTAATTCAGGAATTAAATTCAGGTAAATGGTGAATAAGAAGTATAGTTAAGGTTATAGTGCAGCAACTGCATGTATATTTTATACAGCTACTTCACCTGAATTTACCTGTGGGCCACTTACATTTTAGTGGCCTCGACGAGGACAGAAAGCTGGCGGCTTGACTAAGGTTCCCCCATTTGTTAAGAAGCTTAGGTAATATAGCTACTAATTAATACCAGCATCTGGGATCAAAACAGCTGAACACACAGCTCATGTAACATAGATCTGATTTCAACAGGATTTAAAATGCTTGACAGTAATGCCTTAATTAAAATTCTAGTGTTTTCTAGAGTTCAACCACAAGTGACGTCATTGTCGCTTGACGTTTTCGTCTCCTTCCAACGCTACGGAAAATAATACGCAAGCAATAGATACTTGTAAACACAAGAGATTCTTGCGATAAAACTGTCCTTTGTATAAACTGAACAATATTTACGCATTTTTGCGTAATGTATATATATGTATTTTATATATATATATATATATATATATATATATATATATATATATATATATATATATATATATATATATATATATATATATATATATATATTCTAGTGGGGATAATTTTAAAATTGAGTTTGAGATTTTACTTGTGGCTACATGTTTATTGACTACATTAATTACCGATGTTAAGTGATGCATTCTGTGAATATGTTTGTGCCCTACTACGTTTACTAAAGTAGTAAACGTAGTTCTGTGTAGTTAAAGTACATGTTCAGATATTTGAATCCTCGTCTGCGTATGCTTCATTTATCATAATGGCCCAGAGTAATTATAATATAATGAAAGTATGAAACAAGCGTTAGAAACAAAGGTTTGCAACGTCTACTTGAGCGATATTACGAGGGTAATTTTGCCAAGATTCCTCGTGAGATTTGCAGGAATGAAGATGTGTATTTGATATGGAAGGAAGGAAGGTATGACCTTCCCAACCATGTTAAAGACTGTACCTCTCTCAACCAGTTTAAGTTAAAAGCGAAGCTATACTTAATAAATTCCCTGTAACCTACCTTACCCTTCTATTGTCAACCAATGTCTGTTTTTTTCTTTAAAGAGCGCTGTTTGTCGACATAATTGTATTTGTGCTGCTTTTTCATCTATGTTTTCATTTCTTGTTTTCATTCTACTCATTATGCTCAATTAGTATTAAGCTTGTCATTTAAGTTTATCATGCCCGAAACGCTTTGCGTAATAGTGGCTTTAGGCATTGTATGTACTAGCTATACCTATAAGTTAAACAATCCTTGTAAATATTTATTGTATGTATGCACCTTACCTAAATAAAATTGTATTGTATTGTATTGTATTTATATTTTCCCCCCATGGCTACAAGAGAGATACAACACCTGGCATTAATGAATTGTTATTGTTTAGTTGCAAGATTCAAAAATCAAAATGTGTTTTAAGACATTTATTTGGAAAACACAACTGCTCCATACAAGGGGAAGACTTGACAACTGGCCATTATGTGCCACCGGAGGTAGGGGTCACGACCTTATGTCTGAGACGTGGCAGTGGGCTTATGCTAGCTGAGATGACCTCAAGTAGGTAGGCTGTGGTGGTGACCACCCGTGTGAGCCGAGGAGACGACCTCGTGTGGGCCGAGGCGACGACCACCTCGTGTGGGCCGAGGCGACGACCTGGTGTGGGCCGAGGAGACGACCTCGTGTGGGCCGAGGCGACGACCTCCTGGTGTGGGCCGAGGAGACGACCTCGTGTGGGCCGAGGAGACGACCTCGTGTGGGCCGAGGAGACGACCACCTCGTGTGGGCCGAGGCGACGACCTGGTGTTGGTTGGAGATCACAACCTTTTTTCAGGCATGGGTTATGTTTTGTGAGCGTAGGTCATGACCTCGTAGGTGGAGGTCACATCATCTGGTCCAGGTACAATACCTCTGTTGGTCTTGTATTATGATATATTCTTGTGCAGACAAGGGGTATTCTTGTACAGGGGCATGGGGGTATTCTTGCGCAGGGGCATGGGGGGAATTCTTGTACAGGAACATGGGGTATTCTTGGGCAGAGACATGGGGGTATTCTTGTGCAGAGACATGGGGGTATTCTTGTGCAGGGGCATGGGGTATTCTTGCGCAGGGGCATGGGGTATTCTTGGGCAGGGGCATGGGGTATTCTTGTGCAGGGACATGGGGATATTCTTGTGCAGGGGCATGGAGTATTCTTGCGCAGGGGCATGGGGTATTCTTGGGCAGGGGCATGGGGTATTCTTGGGCAGGGGCATGGGGTATTCTTGTGCAAGGACATGGGGTATTCTTGGACAGGGACATGAGGAATTCTTGTGCCGGGGCATGGGACTATTGTTGTGCAGGGGCATGGGGTATTCTTGTGCAAGGACATGGGGTATTCTTGGGCAGAAACATGGGGTATTCTTGTGCAGGGGCATGGGGGTATTCTTGCGCAGGGGCATGGGGGGTATTCTTGTACAGGAACATGGGGTATTCTTGTGCAAGGACATGGGGTATTCTTGGACAGGGACACGAGAAATTCTTGTGCCGGGGCATGGGGCTATTCTTGTGCAGGGACATGGGGGTATTCTTGTGCAGGGGCATGGGGGTATTCTTGTGCAGGGGCATGGGGTATTCTTGTGCAAGGACATGGGGTATTCTTGGGCAGAAACATGGGGTATTCTTGTGCAAGGACATGGGGTATTCTTGGACAGGGACACGAGAAATTCTTGTGCCGGGGCATGGGGTATCCTTGTGCAGGGGCATGGGGGGTATTCTTGTGCAAGGTCCTCCAAGGTGCAAGTATTCCATTACTACCCTCTATGGTCGTAAGGCGTGTTGGTTGTCGTACCTGTAAAGGTACAGAAGTCTTCACAAGTCTTCTCAGACTTCTCTACTGTCGGGGACACAGACCTGGCCTAGCCGAGGTTCTTATTGCTCTTGTGCGTGTACTCGAACTGGTCGCCCTGGGGCCCCTCTGGGTCTGTGTGGCTCTGACGTCAGAAGGTTCGTGGAGTTCTGATTGGTTAACGTCCGTCTTCAGTTTGAGGGGCTGACAATTCTTGTGCAGGATCTTGGTCTATTCTTGAGGAAGTTGTATGGCGCCTACTTCGTGTATCACACTGCTGTTGCTGTCTGAATTCTTGTTCATCAAGACCTGTCAGTGAGGTGATGACGGTACGTTTTCGATGTGTGTTGATGTGACACCCTCGTCTGTCCCTATTATCATTTCGTGCAGCACCTTTGGCCCTAGAGAGGCAGCGCTCTAGGCCCTAGAGAGGCATCACCCTAGGCCCTGGAGAGGCGGCACCCTAGGCACTTGGAGAGGTAGCACCCTCGGCCATAGAGAGGCAGCACCCTAGGCCCTGGAGAGGCGGCACCCTCGGCCATAGAGAGGCAGCACCCTAGGCACTTGGAGAGGTAGCACCCTCGGCCATAGAGAGGCAGCGCCCTAGGCACCTGAAGAGGTAGCACCCTCGGCCATAGAGGCAGCGCCCTAGGCCCTGGAGAAGCAGCGGCCCTTGAGGAAGCCCCAGCCTGTAAACGTGGGTAGGATTGGTACCAGTCGTGTCCAGCTCCATCTGCAATACCAAAACAAATGCCGTCAATCATCATGCATATAGTTTACATACATTCAATATGTTGGCTTTGGCCAACATAAGGTTCATACCCATTCATCTACCCAAAAAGAGGCAAGAGTGAAGAAGATCGTCAGTTCGGTGCCGCTCCGGGACTCGAAGTCTGGGTGACTGCAATAAACCATTACGTCACCTGAATACAATGCGGGAGCAGAAATAGTGTGACATTATGAAAGAACATCTTTGTCTTGAAGAGCACAAAGGTCAGCCACTGAAAGTATGACATCTTCTGAACATTGTCTGCTGTGTGAAGGACACCTACCTCCTGATGGCGTGCATGCCGAAGGGGAGGTCATAGCAGGACTGGTCGAGAGCACCGGCTGTCCCCGGTAATTGTGTCTCCAGCTGAGCCCTCCACTCCACCATCCCTCGCTCCTCCAGCGTCCCTGGAGACACCAGAGCTCATAATAACCGGCTTATGATATGAAAACTCATACAGAGTCATACCTGATCTATTGACATCTGCACCATAACAGATGTATAGGTTGCAGTATATATTTAGGAACATCAGTGTTATTCCAAGTTTACCTTGGAGCAGAGAGAGAGAGAGAGAGAGAGAGAGAGAGAGAGAGAGAGAGAGAGAGAGAGAGGGGGGGGGTACCGACTGATACCTACCAGGTACAGTGTTGTCGAGGAAGAAGCCAAGACAACCACCCACAAACATGGAGGTTTTCAGGAGGACGGACACTACTTGGTCCACCGCTGGCACCGATGTCTGGATGATGGCCGCGTTCTCTGGCTTCTGCATCCACTGTGGACCACGAAGTCACGGGGTTAGTGGGCTAATGTGTGGCCCATATATATATATACATACAGAATTATCTACAATTTTAATACACCCCCACATGCCTAGTTACTCACCATGGGCAAGGCTATGCCGAAGAAGAGGGAAAACCCGAGAACGAAGAGGTTCCTGGAGGAGTTGAGGTCGATGTACTGGAGAGTGGAGAGACCAACGGAGGTGATCATGGCGAAGACGACGCAGAAGATGCCGCCTATGATGGGCTCTGGGATAGTGATGAAGAGGGCGCCCACCTTGCCTATCAGTCCACAGCCCAGCATGATGGCTGCGCTGTACTGGACTACGCGACGACTCCCGACCTGTCAACAACACATCTTACTGTGTTAATCCTTATCAAAGTTATCGAATCACTCGTACCCCGAGCAAGCTGGGGTACTTTATCCCAGGTTCTAGCATAGCTTCGAATCTTCCTTATGGCTACTACTGATTTTCTTTATCACAGTGACCTTATAAAGAAAGTTAGTACATCCTACTTTAGTGACACTGTCAAACAGCTGAAATATTCTTAGTGACACTATCAAACAAGCTGTGACCTCCTACCTTATAAGTGCGGCACTCAAATAAGTTAGGATACACGGGAGACATCTCCCGTCACGCAGAGTGCAGTCGCACCTCCACAGATCTCCAGTATCATCTATTGATACTGGTAATGGCTCAAAAGGGCCACCACTTACGGCCTATTCATGCCTGTGCCACCTCTTGGGTGGCTTAATCTTCATCAGTCAATCAATCAAATTAGGATATGCCACGTGTAAGTGATGCAGTCAAACGAAACGAGCTGGGATAGCGTACCTTTGTGATGCCGATGGCCCCAACGTTCTGGGAATAGGAGGTAGTACCGCTGCCCGTGCCCCAGAGACCGGCTAGGATTGTGCCCAACCCTTCGATCCAGATGCCCCGGTTAATTGCGTGTTTGGGTGGTGGAGGAGCTCCTGTGGGCGAGCAGTCATGAGGAGGAGAAGGGGTTATAAACCACACTAAAACAGCCAATCACACGCAAGGTCTTCAGAGAAGCCTCATGTCTCTTTCACCAGTTTTCAGTCATCGGTCAGCTAACCAGAACGATCGCTGCTGATGCATAATATCCCCAACCAGTCATTGTGCAACAAGTCAGTTCCTAGAGCGTTCAAACATGTAAATATTTGACCAACAAGTGACCCCCATAGGATCTCTAGGAATCCTATGGACATATCGGACCACCATAGGATCTCTAGGAATCCTATGGACATATCGGACCACCATAGGATCTCTAGGAATCCTATGGACATATCGGACCACCATAGGATCTCTAGGAATCCTATGGACATATCGGACCACCATAGGATCTCTAGGAATCCTATGGACATATCGGACCACCATAGGATCTCTAGGGATCCTATGGTGGTCCCATATGATCCTATGGCTAAATCATCCCCAAATCACAACTTTCTGCACAAACAACAGCTATGGTTAAACACAACTTAGTATAAAGAATTAGATATTAATACAACTTACATAGTTTCTTCTCCAATTTTACCAGAATTTACCCGAGCGGTATCATTTCGAGTGGCCTCGACGTGGACAGGAAATCGACGCTTTATCAAAGGCTTCCATGATCCCCAAGAATTTTTCCAGCTGAATTGTTATCTCTAGTATTTACGGCTTTGGAGTACAGGCGATTCAATGGGTCTATTAACCTCTTGGGGGCAAAAGTATCTCCTGTTTTCTGTTCTTCACTGTAGCTTGTTGAGCTTGAAGCTGTTGCTCCTCATGTGAGTTATTTAGGACCTTTTAAAGAAGTCTTGAATAGTATCTTTGAATTTGTTCAGGACTTTTTAAATGTGTCTGGATGAGATGCTTCGTGCCATGTCTGGTGTTGTTAGTCGTGAGGCCCGCCACCGTGCCTGGTGTGAGAGCTTATACTTACCTCTGGTATCACTTTTGTCATTGTCAGCTCAACGCCTTTTCCAAATAAACCTTTTTCAGCTTTTCCTTTTACAAAGTAGATGTCTATTTGAAGTTGAGGTTTGAATGCTTTGATACCGTAGTCCAGATGGAGGCGCACCGGAGATCTCTTCTTGAGGTTATCTTGAGATGATTTCGGGGCTTTAGTGTCCCCGCGGCCCGGTCCTCGACCAGGCCTCCACCCCCAGGAAGCAGCCCGTGACAGCTGACTAACACCCAGGTACCTATTTTACTGCTAGGTAATAGGAAAGCTAGGAAAGAAACTCTGCCCATTGTTTCTCGCCGGCGCCTGGGATCGAACCCAGGACCACAAGTCCAGCGTGCTGTCCGCTCGGCCGACCGGCTCCCCGCACAGTTGAATAACCAATTTCTTTGCCTTGAAATCAAAGATTTGTTTGATTTTCGCTAAGGTTTGGCGGATTTTTATTTTTCTTTGCAGCTCCCACGAGTTGAGCAACTAGTAGATTCATAACTTCTAACTCCCTTGCTTTATCAATTTCTTGTTTGATCATGTTGTTGTTGTTAAAGATTTAGCTACTCAGAACGAAGTGTCCATGTAGCACGGGCTATGGTGATCCCGTAAATTGTTTGATCATGTTGTGTTTATTATAATGGGTATTCCTATAATCTACATGTACGGTGGATGAGTGTGGGGGTGGTAGGTGTGCGTGGGTGTGGGTAGTGGGTGTAAGGGTAGTGTGTGTGTGTGTGTGTGTGTGTGTGTGTGTGTGTGTGTGTGTGTGTGTGTGTGTGTGTGTGTGTGTGTGTGTGTGTGTGTGTGTGTGCGTGTGTGTGCGTGTGTGTGCGTGCGAGGTGTGCACCCGCCAAACACACACCGAAACTACGCCGTTGGTACAACGTTCGAACAAGTTTTAACACCTCCTAACCAGTTATAACAACCAATATAGCAAGTTGTAACAACGTTATAATACGTCATAAACAGGCTAAGCCAAGATGTAACAACTTTATTACAAGTTGTAACAAGCGGAAATAGAGACAGTTTCGGTTTGTGTTTCCAGGGCAGGAGGTGAGGGCTGGAGGGGGTAGTACTCACCAGCGAGCCTGGCGCAGGCGAAGTAGTCTCCAATACTCTCCACAATGCTGGCCAGGACGCCCGCTAACATGCCCAGCGTCCCAGCCACGCTCACGCTCGGCCAGCCCCACTGACCTGTAAGTCATGCCCCTCTATGTTATCACTCTGCAAGTATGTGCACTCTATAGGCGCTCACTCGCACTCTACAGGCACTCACACGCCCTCTACAGCGCTCACTCGCACTTTACAGGCACTCACACGCCCTCTACAGTGCTCACTCGCACTCTACAGCGCTCACTCGCACTCTGCAGGCTCTCACACGTCCTCTACAGCGCTCACTCGCACTCTACAGACACTCACACGCCCTCTACAGCGCTCACTCGCACTCTACAGACACTCACACGCCCTCTACAGTGCTCACTCGCACTCTACAGCGCTCACTCGCACTCTACAGGCTCTCACACGTCCTCTACAGCGCTCACTCGCACTCTACAGGCTCTCACACGCCCTCTACAGTGCTCACTCGCACTCTACAGGCACTCACACACCCTCTACAGCGCTCACTCGCACTCTACAGCGCTCACTCGCACTCTACAGACACTCACACACCCTCTACAGCGCTCACTCGCACTCTACAGACACTCACACGCCCTCTACAGTGCTCACTCGCACTCTACAGACACACACCCTCTACAGCGCTCACTCGCACTCTACAGACACTCACACGCCCTCTACAGCGCTCACTCGCACTCTACAGGCACTCACACGTCCTCTACAGCGCTCACTCGCACTCTACAGGCTCTCACACGCCCTCTACAGCGCTCACTCGCACTCTACAGACACTCACACGCCCTCTACAGCGCTCACTCGCACTCTACAGGCACTCACACGCCCTCTACAGTGCTCACTCGCACTCTACAGGCACTCACACACCCTCTACAGCGCTCACTCGCACTCTACAGACACTTAATATCTACTCGCTCATCTTCAAGATACACTCATTCATTCCATTTTAAAGGTATACTCATTTACCTTCCATAGGTACCCACTTGCATTCAACATATTGACCATACAGGAGTACTCACAGAACCATGACCCACTCAAGAGGTACTCACAAGGCCGTGGCTCACTCAGAAGTACTCACGGGGGCCACGGTCCATTCAGAGGTACTCACAAGGCCGTGGCTCACTCAGAAGTACTCGCGGGGGCCACGGTCCATTCAGAGGTACTCACAAGGCCGTGGCTCACTCAGAAGTACTCACGGGGCCACGGTCCATTCAGAGGTACTCACAAGGCCGTGGCTCACTCAGAAGTACTCGCGGGGGCCACGGTCCATTCAGAGGTACTCACAAGGCCGTGGCTCACTCAGAAGTACTCACGGGGGCCACGGTCCATTCAGAGGTACTAACAAGGCCGTGGCTCACTCAGAAGTACTCACGGGGGCCACGGTCCATTCAGAGGTACTCACAAAGCCGTGGCTCACTCAGAAGTACTCACGGGGGCGCCACGGTCCATTCAGAGGTACTCACAAAGCCGTGGCTCACTCAGAAGTACTCACGGGGGCGCCACGGTCCATTCAGAGGTACTCACAAAGCCGTGGCTCACTCAGAAGTACTCACGGGGGCCACGGTCCATTCAGAGGTACTCACAAAGCCGTGGCTCACTCAGAAGTACTCACGGGGGCCACGGTCCATTCAGATGTACTCACATGGGTAAGGGAAGCGGAACCAGGGAGACTCGGTGATGATGGTGAGTCTGAGATCAGTCCTCGCGGGGCTGTGAGGCGGCAAGACCTCAGCAGCGGTGAGCGCCCAGCAGGTCAGCCACGCCACCACCACCGCCAGCAGCACCTGCACGATGGCGGCAAGCAATCAGGAAGGCCTTATCGGGAGGAAGCGCCAAGCTATTACGACTATATAGCATTGGGAAGGGGTCAGGATAAGGATTTGGGATGGGATGGGGGGGGAGGGGGGGGAGGAGGAATGATGTCTAGCCACTGGGACGGTCGGGGATTAAACGTCGACCTGCAAGACGCGAGACCGTCGCTCTACCGTCCAGGCCAAGTGGTTTGACGGCAGCGGCTGAGAGGCTTCCAGCACCGAGGAGTCAATGTTCTCAGTGTTGATGACCAAACCACACATCACAAAATGGATAAACGACGACGTTTCGGTCCGTCCTGGACCATTATCAATTCGTTTCGGTCCAGGACGGACCGAAACGTCGTCGTGTCTCTATTTTCTGTGTGGTTTGGTTATCATATCTTCAACCACGTTATTGTGATAGTTTTCAGTATCTTCCACCTGGTCCAACTTCGTTGCCACAAGGAATTAACTGGCAGTTATAACACAAGGCGCTCAGTCACCGATAGTGCATGCTGGCTGTGCATGATAGAACTAATTTAAAACACTGTCACTCAAGGACCTCTAAGGATTATTATTTTCACACTACAACCTATTCATCTCACATCACTCTGCTCGAAGCATTTCAGTAGCCTAACCCGTCCTTTCACAACTTTAGTGTTAATCTATAATAAGTTAAGTAAATGTTATTTAACATTGAAAAATGACTGCTTAGAACATTACATAACACAATGACGTCACTAAAATTAACCAACTGTTGTGTTTCTGAGTCGATGACGTCAGGGTATATAATTACCAAACACATTCAGATATAATTACGAGAATGAACTTAAAGATGAGTTCGTACTTCAAGAGTTTGAACACATGAACTCACACATCCAGAGCAACTCCACATCCAGAGTAACTCCACACAGAGAGCAATCTCACATACATAGCAGCCACAGCAGCCCCACACACCCACAGCAGCCCCACACACCCACAGCAGCCACCCACACCCACAACAGCCACACACCCACCCACAACAGCCACCCACACCCACAACAGCCACACATACAAGCAACAAAAGCAACAAAGACTTACTGGGAAAAGTTTGAAGACGTAAACATTGACCCTGGTGAAGCCTCGGGCCCTGGACCACGTGAGGCCCGGGACCCCGACCTGGCTCAGGTACTGAGAGAACACTACCAACAACACTATCGTCCTGGGGGAGGAACACGCCTCAGTGTTGGCACCTCTTGTTGTCTCCCTCATATATTTCAGGCAAGCAAAGCTTAATATACAATTTTAATGTATTATTCAACCTCTGTTATCGTGAAGATACAATATATATTGTACATGAGTATAGCAATTGTGTAGAGTGGAAGCCGGTGACGCAAGAGAGAGTGAAGGAGCTAGTGACTTACAGCGAGGAGATGCCCCAGTGGGAGGCGGCCTTGTCGGCAGCGACTCTGAAGAGGGAGAACCCGATGAGGGTGATGGTGGGCACGACCACCAGAGGGGAGATCCAGCGCAGCAGACCGCCAACAGCACCTGCAACACATTCCCGCCTCAATCTCACATGACAAACGCACAATTTCACATCTGATCTATAACACACGGGAGACATCTCCCGTCACGCAGGGTGCAGTCGCGCCTCCACAGATCTCCAGTATCAGCTTTTGATACTGGTAATGGCTCAAAAGGGTCACCACTTACGGGCTATTCATGCCCGTGCCACCTCTTGGGTGACTTAATCTTTATCAATCAATCTTGATCTATAATAGATCCTAAAACCTACCCATGAACCCCTCACCCCGACCTAATTAACCTCTGCTTAATATATTCTTCGATTATATCCCATAACGTAATCCTGAACAAAATTAATCCACGATATGCTTCTTGTTTGAATTTGCCGCGGCGGTCACCAACGCCATCTATGTAAACAGAGACGTAGGACGCCCGACACGCTTCCTACAGTCATAGTTATGTAGACAAAGTATTTCACCGCTATAAATATTAATCAAAGCGATATCAGTAGGTGGTGGATTTGTGTGTATCTTCGTCAACTGACCGGTGCAGCCTACGACCACCTGGAAGACGGCGGCCAGACAGATGGCGCCTTGGACCTCCCGCATGCGTATCTGCCACAGGTTGGTTCGTTCTTCATACGTCAGAGAGTCGAGGACCTCGTCAGGCGGACAGGGCAGAAGGGTCAGGATGGCCAAGATGGGGCCCAGGAATCCGTGTGTGGCTCCTTGTACGATGGGCAGTCTGGAGAACACAACAGGTGCGAGAGAGAAAGAGCAAGTAAGTAATATATAGCAAGGTACATCAAATAATTTCAAGTATGAACATTTACTAGATTTTGTAACTTCTGATGACCCAATTTATTACATCAGTTTAGTGACGTTGGTAACGCTTGAGAGGACGGAATGGGCACACATACCTGACGCCGAAGACAGTCTGGAGAAGGGTGACGATGCCGCTGACGAAGATGACGGTAGAGGCGATGGCGCCTCTGGCGGGGTCGTTAGTGGCCATACACATGAGAGGCGTGAGCAGGTAGGGGATACTAACAGTCGACTCCACCATCATCAGGTAGTGCTTGGGAGGGGGACGGAGAGGCTGCTTAAATATATATATTATACCACTCAACGGTCAGGTCAAAATTATACTCATTTTAGGGAAATTTGTGAGACGGGTTTAGTGATAGTGATTCAGAATTAGCTGGTTGACCAGACCACACTAGAAGGTGAAGGGACGACGACGTTTCAGTCCGTCCTGGACCATTCTCAAGTCGACTGTCTATATCAACAACCCCAACATTAGCAGTATACTAATTCAAATATGTTAATTCACAAACCTACACAAATTCAGCGTTCAATATTTAAACTATAATACTACATTACATGACTATAAGGCATTTCAAAGATAATTTTGAAACGCCTGAGAACAGCTGGTGGTAGCAGACGAGAGCATAAAAGGTTCGGTGAAATTGGAGTCTCGTTGTCGGACACAGGCTTATAGAGATAACCCTAGCCAAGGACTGGCCATTACCCAGGATGCAACCTACAATACGTGACTAGACGAGGAGTCACAATAACGTGGCTGAAGTATGTTGACCAGACCACACACTAGAAGGTGAAGGAATCACAATCTACTTGAGAATGGTCCAGGACGGACCGAAACTTCGTCGTCCCTTCACCTTCTAGTGTGTGGTCTGGTCAACATAGGTGACTAGCCACCGGGTATACCAAGTTACCGCCAGTGAACCCATAGGCACTGGGAGTTAGGGAACGTTCAAACGTCTCAACCTCTGCCAGGGATTGACACACAGGACCAATTGGTCACCAACTCAATGATTGATTGATTTATGAAGATTAAGCCACCCAAAAGGTGGCACGGGCATGAATAGCCAGTAAGTGGTGGCCCTTTTGAGCCATTACCAGTATCCAGAGCTGATACTGGAGATCTGTGGAGGTGCGACTGCACCCTGCGTGACGGGAGATGTCTCCTGTCACAACCCAATGCAATTTCTTTCTTTATTATGCACCCCATACCTATCCCGCGGGCGGTGTTGCAATGGGTTACAGAGGCATATAATCGGTTCAGGAACTGAACCCTCTAGTTGGTTTAGCTAAGCAAATAACAACTCGTCCTCTCGAATGTATACGTCATCGCAATTTGATGTATAAATTCCCAACAGCCAAAATAAGATGTAGTATAAATCACAGCAGCTCGCAGAACAGACGGATTGTCACGTTTTCTACTCGTGGGTCTTTGGTTAGGTTAGGTTAGGTTTGACATTTTAGTACATCATGTTTAAGACGTGAGAGCTGGAGACGACGGGGTGGGTTATGAACAAGCTGCTCAACCTACAGGATTATAACACCTGTGTCAATATAGTTGCCTCTAACTGATCAACAACTGTAATCAGGCGCTAAATTAATGACCTGTGACCCGTGAAGATGACATAATGACCAAGATATCAGCCCCTGACCTAGGGCCGCGGAGGGGAAGGTTGGGGGGAGGAGGGAGGGAGGTAGGGTGTGGTGGGAGGGGGGAAGCACTCACCTGGAGACCAAGGACGAGACAGGTGTACCACGGAGGGTTGTCCTCGACGGTGTAGAGCAGCTGGTTCTGGGAGTCCTCCACCACCAGGGCCTCACTCGACTTGGCAACCTCCGTCTTGCTGGTGGGCGGAGAATCCTCATCCACCTCCTCCCGCCCACCGCCGCCCCCACCGCCCACTGCCACACCCTCCATCTGCCGGATAAATAATACAATAACAGTTATGTAGTAGAGCAACAATGTTCAAAGCAGAAATGATCAGTTAAATTGTTATTTCTCGTTTAGTGCAGGGAAGGGAAAGTGAAGAGAAGGTGGTGTAGGGGAGAGGGGGAGGTGGTGTAGGGGAGAGGGGGAGGTGGTGTAGGGGAGAGGGGGAGGTGGTGTAGGGGAGAGGGGGAGGTGGTGTAGGGGAGAGGGGGAGGTGGTGTAGGGGAGAGGGGGAGGTGGTGTAGGGGAGAGGGGGAGGTGGTGTAGGAGAGAGATGACCAGACAGTTTCCTTGACGTTGGGTTCGGAGCTCAAGTCACCTTCACCCACACAGCCTTCCAGTGTTGACACACCAACTTGCTGGAGGCGGCGAGACGTGAGTACACACACACACACACACACACACACACACACACACACACACACACACACACACACACACACACACACACACACACACACACACACATGGAAATGGAAGTTTGAAGACCTGGGAAATCGAGTTACCAATGAGTGCACAAGCTTCATACATGGAACTCTGACAGTAGATGGGAGGAAGATTGTGATCATGGTAATCTACAATCCCCCACCAAACAGTAGAAGACCCAGGCAGGAGTATGATGACAACAACAAAGCATGTATAGATGAACTGCAGAAGGCAGCAACACTAGCCCACAGAATGAGAGCGAAGCTGCTGATCATGGGGGACCTAAATCATGGAGAGATAAATTGGGAATCAAGGAATCCCCATGGAGGGGACGAAACGTGGGGAGCAAAATTAGTAGATGTTATAGACAGGAATTTCCTGACACAACATGTGAAGGAAGACACAAGGGAAAGAGGAGGAGATGCACCGAGCCTATTAGACCTGATTTTCACCCAGAACGTAGAAGATATCGAGAATTTAGAGCATGAAATACCTCTAGGGGCCAGTGACCATTGTGTCCTAGTCTTTGACTACATGATGGAATTCAAACTTATGACCATGGGACAAGAGATCTGGGAAAGGAGAGCTGACTACAGGAAAGGGGACTATATGAGGATGAGGGACTATCTGGGTGAAGTGCAGTGGGAGGAAGAAATTAGAGGAAAAACAGTCCAAGATATGATGGACCTAGTCATACAGAAATGCCAGGAGGCCGAAGAGAGATTTATACCAACGGTAAAGGGAAAAAATAAGAAGGAATATAATAACCCATGGTTTAATAGACAGTGTCAGGAAGCAAAAATGGCCAGCAGGCGGGAGTGGAGGAAGTACAGAAGACAAAGAACAGAGGACAACAGAAGCAGATACAACAGAGCTAGGAACGATTACATTAACATAAGACGAACATCGGAAAGGGACTATGAGAACGATATTGCAATCAAAGCGAAAAAACAACCTAAGTTACTACACAGTCATATAAGAAGAAAAATGTCGGTGAACGACCAAGTGACAAGACTAAGGAAGACAGAGGGGGCATATACTGAAAGTGACAAGGAAATCTGCGAGGCACTGAATGCCAGTTTCCATGGAGTGTTCACTACCGAGCCTGAGCAGCTCCCATTGTTGGAAGGGGTTACCCTAGATGAAAGACTATCAGATATAGAGGTGACAGCAGAGGAGGTAATGAAACAGTTGACAACTCTAGATGCAACTAAAGCAGTTGGACCAGACAAAGTATCACCGTGGATACTAAAAGAAGCAGCACAGGCCCTCAGCGTGCCTCTGGCAATGATCTTTAATGAGTCACTTATGTCAGGAGAATTGCCCAGTTGCTGGAAGAAGGCAAATGTCGTGCCGATCTTCAAGAAAGGAGATAGGGAGGAGGCACTTAACTACAGACCTGTATCACTGACAAGCATCCCCTGTAAAATACTGGAAAGAATAATTAGTCTACGACTGGTTGCACACCTGGAGAACATTAGGTTTGTGAACAAACATCAACATGGGTTCTGGACAGGGAAATCGTGCCTAACAAACCTTCTGGAATTCTATGATAAAATAACGAGGATAAGACAGGACAGAGATGGTTGGGCAGACTGCATATTTCTGGACTGCCAAAAAGCCTTTGATACAGTACCGCACATGAGACTGCTGTTCAAGCTCGAGAGGCAGGCGGGGGTGGGGGGAAAGGTCCTAGAATGGATAAGGAACTACCTAACAGGAAGGAGCCAAAGAGTTACGGTAAGGGGCGAGAAGTCGGACTGGCGAACAGTAACAAGTGGAGTACCACAAGGATCGGTGCTGGGACCAATTCTATTTCTTGTATATGTTAACGACATGTTTACAGGCGTAGAGTCCTACATGTCGATGTTTGCGGATGATGCAAAGTTGATGAGAAGAGTTGTGACAGATGAGGATTGCAGGATCCTCCAAGAGGACCTGAACAGATTGCAGAGATGGTCAGAGAAATGGCTACTAGAATTCAACACGAGCAAATGTAAAGTTATGGAAATGGGACTAGGAGATAGGAGACCAAAGGGACAGTACACAATGAAGGGGAACAGCCTACCTGTAACGACGCGTGAAAGAGACCTGGGGGTGGACGTAACACCTAATCTATCTCCTGAGGCACATATTAATAGGATAACGACAGCAGCGTACTCTACACTGGCAAAAGTTAGAACATCATTCAGAAACCTAAGTAAGGAGGCATTTAGGGCGCTTTACACTGCCTACGTAAGGCCAGTCTTAGAGTATGCCGCCTCATCATGGAGTCCCCATCTGAAGAAGCATATAATGAAACTGGAAAAGGTTCAGAGGTTTGCAACGAGACTCGTCCCAGAGCTACGAGGGATGGGGTATGAAGAGCGCCTGAGGGAACTGTGCCTTACGACACTAGAAAGAAGAAGGGAGAGGGGGGACATGATAGGAACGTATAAGATACTCAGAGGAATTGACAGAGTGGACATAGACGAAATGTTCACACGGAATAGTAACAGAACGAGAGGACATGGATGGAAGCTTGAAACTCAGATGAGTCACAGAGATGTTAGGAAGTTTTCTTTTAGCGTGAGAGTAGTGGGGAAATGGAATGCACTTCAGGAACAGGTTGTGGAAGCAAATACTATTCATAATTTTAAAACCAGGTATGATAGGGAAATGGGACAGGAGTCATTGCTGTAAACAACCGATGCTCGAAAGGCGGGATCCAAGAGTCAATGCTCGATCCTGCAAGCACATATAGGTGAGTACATATAGGTGAGTACACACACACACACACACACACAGTACCCAAATGAGCCACAGAGACATTAGAAAGAACTTTTTCAATGTCAGAGTAGTTAGTAAATGGAATGCACTAGGACGTGATGTGGTGGAGGCTGACTCCATACACAGTTTCAAATGTAGATATGATAGAGCTTGAGAAGCTCAGAAATCTGTACACCAGTAAATTGACGGTTGAGAGGCGGGACCAAAGAGCCAGGGCTCAACTCCCGCAAGCACAACTAGGTGAGTACACACACATTTTTGTGCCTCGCGGCTGAGTTAACAGCGCTCGGGGGTCTTAGTCCTAAGGGCCCGAGTTCGATTCCCAGCCGAGGCAAAAACAAATCAGCAGTTTCTGTCATCCTGGCGCCCCTGTTTACCTAACAGTAAACAGGTACCTGGGAGTTAGACAGCTGCTACGGGCTGCTTCCTGGGGATGTGTGTGAGTGCGTGAGACAGAGAGAAATATATGTAGTAGACATAATAGAGGAAAAAATAGATTGGTAAGAAAGGCGGGGTCCAAGAGCTAATTGCTCGATTCTGCAGTCATAAACAGTAAATACAAATAGTAAATACACACACAAACTGCTGTAATTAACTGGCAAAAAATATATTGCACACAAGAACCGTGAGTGTTGGGCTGACCCCGAGATCAGCTGACTGGTGGCCTGTGACGTCATGAGTTACATCAGCTGACTTGTGACGTCATGAGTTACATCAGCTGACTGGTGGCCTGTGACGTCATGAGTTACATCAGCTGACGTGTGGCTTGTGACGTCATGCACCATGACGTTAATATTACAGTAATTTGTACATTATTTTCCCACTAGCTTATCAATTACTATAAATTTATTCAGAGAAATCTAGCCAATTTGTAATTAAAGTTAAGAAGCACAAAGAACCATCTGGCTATTGCATGACATGGAATGTAAACCCATTATCCTCACGCCCAGTAGGTCACAATAGCCTGCTTGAACATAAGCAGCCTAATCCAAACATCGGATAAGGAATTAATATGACGAGGTTTCTCTCTATTCTGGACGTTGACGCTCCATTTGTTTTTTTCCTGTGTTGTACGGGTAAGGTTTATTATCGTTAGAAAGTTGTAAACAAAGCCGCCAAAGATTGAGAAAAGATGTACAGGTTCGTAAGTGTTTGCGTATCTTCTTCGTGAATCTGGCCCCTGCATACCGCTGATAGTAACCCAGGTGGGTTCGTTCTCCGACTTATAAATCAGCAATTCCGGGTTTGAATCCCGCGGGCGGGAGAGAAATGGTTGGGGGGCATGTTTCCAAGCCTACCACCTGTCGTGGTACGAAATGATAGGCTTGGTTGTGTAAAGACTAATAATAATTAACAACAGCCCTTCAATGACCCTGTTATACCCCATATCTATAATATTTTACCCCCACATCTAAAATATTTTATGCATTAGTAAAAGACCTATCATCAGTGAATTTATTGTAAATACATAAATGCTGTAATTATTTTGTGTAACCAGCTGACACTATAAGGTGTGCAGGTTAGACGTAACGGTTAATGTAAAACTCTCCGTCAAGGTCTGATAAAGACCTTTTGTGCCCTCTGTATTTTTTTTTGCGCTACCGCTCACAGGATAAGTATGGGGTGCACAATAAACTAGCACTAGCCTCTGACAGAAACAATGAAATGTTGTGTGGGGGTTGCATCCTGGGGAGGGTCAGTAGTTCCACCTTGGGGGAACCCTCCATATAGACCTATAGTTTGTACAGACTCTTCGTTCCAGACAAAATAAATTATTTATTATATTGCAACTA